AAGTGGTGAGCCAATTGATTGAACTTCTGAGCAAAGTAATTCAGATGATAAATTTTGAGCAGTTTTTTGATAGCTTTCAAAATTTGGATAACTTTTTATCCACTCTAAAAAATTGTTTTCTGGAAAATCCTCTGATTTTTTTTGAAGATCATGCAATATCCAGTTTGATGTTAACATAAAAATATTTTCTTCTTGTGTAAACTTTTCTAATTTATAAACTATATTGATTTTAAGATTTTCTTTTAAATCATGTTCAAAGTAGTCCCGTGTTGCAATCCATAGTTGATTTCCGTTATTGAACATAAACGATTTGATTAACTTATGAACAAATTTAACACAATCTGGAGCAATTTCATCAAATCCGTCAAAAAGAATTAAAACATTACCATTTTCATACAAATTTGAAAATATTTTCGATTCAAACTTATTCACAGGTTTTAATACATGTTGAATCATAAATGATGAAAAATCTTGATGATTTTCAGCCGACTTAAATGCTTTGATATGTTGCTTTAAATCTACATACGATGTCCATTTTTTAGGATAAAAATTCTGCAAAACTTCTTCCATTTTTAACATCTGCCAACTTTTTCCGGTTCCTGCAATGTCTGATATTATGACAAATTTTTCATTTTTTACACTATCCAATAGCTGATCATGGGTCAATAGTAAAGTAATTTTTTCATTTGTTTTTTGATTGTTTGAAATTTTATGAACTTTTAAAAATTTCCTTGGTTGGAAAAGAGATTTAAAATTCATGTCTGTCAATTGATCAGAAATTTTTGCATTCAACACAATTTCCTTATTCTCAACTAACAAATTCAATAAATTATCATCGATAAGTTCTTCAAAAATATTTTTTGTTATATGCTGTCCATCGGTTTCTATAATATCCTTTAAAGACAGTGTTACGCATCTTTGGAATACAACTTTTGATTGAATTAAAAAGTTCTTTGAATTTTCGTCTAAATCATTCCAGTTAAATGTCTCAATTGATTTTTCAGCTTTAATATCTGAATGCTGCAATATTTTTTCTATTTCTTCACATTGCGCATCGCATTTCACAATGAATATAAAAGAAGTGAATTTCTTTTTTTTTACAATACTTAAATTCCTGATGAATTGTTTAGTACAATCAATAAATACACACGTAGGTTTAGTTTTAATTAATAATTGATTAAACTCTGGAGTATTTTCAATAATATCTGCAGTTGTAAAAATATTTCTAGCATTGAGTAAGTTTCGATGTATTTTTTGAAGATGGAAATATACATTAAGAAAATAGAGCTTTTGGACATTAGTTGTCACTATGACATACTTATTACCAGTAAAATTAGTTGCATGTTTTTCAATCTTAATATTAATACTTAATTTTTTAATTTCCGAAAAAATTCCGGATGTATGATTAAAGTTTCTCACATCGATTCTGTTCTTAAAATTAAATTTTTCCATTTCAGGCATAACATGATTTTTCATAAATTTAAATAAAAGATCAAACTTACTTTCCAATTTTATTCTTTTCTCCTTGTCGTTATCATATTGTGCTTGAATTTGAGCTGCTATTACAATCAATTCCATTGAATGTTCTTCCTCTTTGTACTTTTTGTATACATTAGACAAGATGCCTTCACATTCATCATTTAATATCGGTTTGGTTTCTCCATATTTCTTATATGCAGATATAATTTTTTCATATTCTTTAGCTTTCTCCTCATCATATTCATAATATGGATTTTCATTATTTTCAAAAACCAATTGAAGTGCATAATGACAAACTTCATGAAGCATAACTCCTTTAATCTTTTGCTCACGATTTTTGAAATCTGAACTTTGAGCACCTATGAAAATTCGCTTTAGATGTGGATATGTCATTCCTAAAGAGTTGGTAGCATTTAAGTCAATATTGTGAACCTAAATTTATTATAAATTATAAGTTTATTATGATTTAAATATATAAATTAAAATAACTTACTGTTTCATTATCGAAGTCGAAAATTACTATCAAATCTTCACACTGCGATGCTACATGAAAAATTTTTGCACCAAATTCAGTTCTATTAATTTCTTTGAACCATTTCTCTATATTGCTTTTATATTTCCACTTTTCTTTGTCACTCATTGTTTGATTATGAATGAAACATTTAGCTATCAAAATCATAATCGAATTATCTTCATTTGGTATTGCATTCATTACATTTTTTCTTCTTTGATGTATTCCTTTAATCTGGACATTTTCTAGCTCCTTTTCACTTGTTGCAACTTGTGTGAAACTTAGATTTTCTCCTTTTAATCCATACGATTTTAAATAATAGTAAACGTCATAGCTTTTAGAATTTAATGCATGGTGTAATGCTGAATTATTTTGAACATTGTAAATCATTTTTAAGTTTGAATTATTCTCGATAAACTCATCCATATTTGCAAAATTCTTTTCATCTATCCATTGGTGAAATTCTTTACGATTATCAATTATTTTTTGAAATCTTTTATCGCTTATTGAACTTGAATTAAAATTATCGGGGAATGGAAAATCGTATTCAAGTAAAGTACACAAAACTTCAATTTGATTAGTATCGAATGCAATATTGGAAATATCAATTTGATGCACAATCGGAAGCTCAATAAGTAATGATTTAAAAGTTGTTAATAAAAAATTCACTATTTCAATATTATGGTTCTCTACAGCAGTCAAAAGAATAGATTGCTCTAATTCGTCGCTCTCAAAACTAAGGTAACATGTTTTACTTAAATAATTTAAAGCATCTTGGTTTAATTCATGCTCAGTGAATTCAAAAGCAATATCCAATGAAGCCAAAAGTTGATTTTTTGATCCGTGCGCTGCACATTTAAATATAATTTTTTTAAAAAGTGAATCCTCATGAATAATTAAAGTTCTCAATAATCTTAAGAATAATGAAGAATTTGTTTTCTTGATCAATTTATCGAGCAACACATCATCAATTGTTCCAATATCTCCGTTCATGATTAAAGAATAGAAATTTGGAAAATGATGTAAATTTTCTAACGGATGCAATTGTTGATTAACTTCCGAAAATTCACAAATATTTTCATCTTTGTAAAAAATCTTTTTCACATTTTCATTTTTTGATTCAAGTTGCAATATAATTGGTCGATTTTTGTTAAATTTTAATAAAAACTTTTCTATTGTTGATGCTATTTTTGGCTTCGCATTTATATATTTTCCACAAAATCCAAAACTCTCTGCTTCAAAAATGAAGAAAAATAAATATGGAAAATCATATGAAGACAAATCAGCAATAACAAGTAACATTTCATCAAGGCTGTTTAACGATAAAAATCTAAGAACTTTGCAGTGCTTCTTATACTTTGGAGTAATGGTGTTGAAATTAGCTTTGTTGTATGTGATTAAAAAATGATTGTCGAATTTAATAGACATGATTGCTTGTTGTTGAATATCCTATGATTTTTGAGTTATTTGTTGCAAATCTAAAAGAAAGATTAATGAATTGTAGTAAAATATTATTTGAATATTATTGTTATCAAAATACAAATGTTCGTTGTGTCGCTTTAAATAAAAAACGAGTCATATTTTAAAGGAAAAGTTAAAAAAAAATCTTGCTTAACGGTTTTTGAAATTAATATATTTACAGAAAGCATGACAATTTCAATTTTATTTATTTTATTCAAGCTTATTTTTTTAGATTTTGTGTTCAAATCTGTTGTTCAAATTTTCTTTCGTACCAAATTTATTAAAAACGATTTTACTTCTCATGAAATATAACCACAAATACACAAACACTTTTATTTATTTAAGACCTGCTGATAACATTTTCAAAGAATTTATTTGAAATCACTATAAAATTTACCTTGATGTGATTATCAAGATTAGTTTTGATAGTATTTAAACTCACTTGTAATTTTAATTGATTCCTTTATTTTTAGAATTTGTTCAAACATCAAAGTTACTTAATTTACCAAAGTTGTGGTTAGATAATTTAGAAATATCAAATCGATCAACTTGAGCATTAAACTCTAGTTTACTGATGTTATAAAGAAGCTTATCGCATTATTGCATAACATAAATTCAAAATTATCAGTGATTATCAGTTTGTGTTCACACAAATTTTTATTTTTTAATCATTTTAAGTTTACTAAAGTTATCGATTTTTCAATTTTGTTTAAATAAAAAAAAATCACAAAGCCTTTTCGTCGTTTAAAATTTCTAAAGATTTAAATAATTTTAAAAATCAACAAAATTTTACTCGACAATCATAGATTTAAATATTAAATATAACATTTATACAATGAAACACGATGTCTAGAAATAGTTATTACTATATTTTTGTTTAAACTGATAAACCTTTTTCTAAAAATTTATAGAGCATTTTGTCAAAGCATTTTTATTTTTTTATTAAACAGTTTAGAAGATGTTAATAAAAAAATCAAAGAGTGGCATTATATTTAAACATTTCTCATAGTCGTTACATTGTTTGTTGCAATATTAAGATTTTAAAGCCTGGAATGTCGTGAGCGTTGTTCAAACCATATTAAGAGCACTCCAGTGAGTTGCCCAACAGAGGCTTAACTCTCACATTGGCAGATTCACCTTTATATGGCTCGACATTGCAGATTCAACTTTAATCAGACACCAAAAAGGAATTTTTAAATTCTTTTCGTAGTTTTTTTTTTATTCCTTTGTGATACAAACTGATTTGATATGTTGGCTTGGAATATCCCTTGATAGCTTATTTATAAATAATATATTGACACATTTTGTTTTACATTTTTCAATTTTAAAGATTATGCATCAAATTCTTAACAAATTCAGCAACTTTCGGATTTCTTGTTTTGTTCTCTAAAGATAATTGCAGTAAATTTTTATCCTTAAATCCAATTGTTCTTAAATATTTAATTTGATCCTCCTTTTTGTCAATGAATTTTTGAATTTCCTTCTACATCAGATCAGCAATATCTATGGTGCTGTTAAAAACAGATGTATGAAGCAAATGAAGTCCATCTTAGTCACAGTGATTTATTATATTGACCATTTCAGAAGAATTGAAATATTTTGGAATAATTCTCCAAATATTTGCATGAAACTCAAGAAATTTGTTGCGGGCATTTGCAGCTTGTAGTAAGTTTTGCCTCTCAAAGTCCAAATTATTAAACAAATTCTTGATTTTATAATTCGATGCAACTTTTGCTAATTCTTCAACCATAAAATTGAAAATTTCCATAGAAGTAAAAGAAGCAGTGACATCAAACATATTACTTCCAAATTCATTGATTTCTCCGAGTATCTCCAAAAATTCTTCTTTTGATTTGCATGCATCTTGAAAAGTTTTCAATAAAATCTGATGCAGTTTGAGTTCCTTTGAGTCACGAATAGCTTTTTGCATCAAATTTATTTTAAGCATTCCGTTTGATTTCAAAATCTCTTGATATTGTGAACTGCTGAGAATTTCTTTAAACATTTTGATTGTGAATTCAATAACATCTGATTTATTGAAAATTATCAGCAGGTGGATATAATTGTCGTTGTCTCTGTCCACTTCTGATAATAAATTGAATAGTTCAATACAATTTTTAAAGGTTTTGAGGAGATATCGCCATAAAATTTCATGATTTTTTATTTCTAAGTCTGTTGCAAATTTAGCCAAATCATTTGCTGACTTGATGGATATATTTGCTTCATCAATTAGCTTCAAGTTGCTGTCAAACAATTTACATGCTTCAAAATCTTTATTTTCAATCCATTTAAATTTTAAAATTTCTCGATCTTCTACTTTAATTCCATGAAATTGCAGGACATTGTTGACAATTGCTTGACATTTGTTAAAACTTTCCTTTTGTGTCTTATCAAGAATGCTATTTTCATTAATTTTCTGCACGATTTCCTTCCAAGTCAATTCAACAATACCAGTCGTATTCTCCAAAATAGCAAGCAGTAGCAAGTTCTTGTCAAAAGCTTCAATATGTTTAATAAATTGCAGAATTTCAGCGGAATTGAAATATTTTCGAATAACTTTCCACAAACTATCATGAAGAACTGTAAATGTATTTTGGTTGACTGCTGTTTGGAACAGATTTCTCTTCCAAATGTCAGTGCTTCTTAACATTTTTCTTATTTCTTCAAAAGTTGCAATCTTTTCTAATTCTTCATGAATAAATTTAAAGACATCACTTTTTGCGAATAATGCCGTGACGCTGTAAATGTTGGAACCATCATCATCAACTTTGCTCATAAATTGCAGCAATTCCGAAGAACATTTTAATGAATTTTTGACAATATCATAAAGCAGTTGATGGATTTGTAGATCCTTAGCTAAGCCTGCAACCCTCAACAGCATGATCCTCTTACACGTTCCTTCCGACATTAAAAGTTCTTTAAAATGTGATTTGTTGAGGTTTTATTTGAGTTTGTTGAATGTGAATTCAATTATCTTTGGTTTGTTGTAGCCTATTAATAAGTGGATATAGCTGTTTTTTTCTCTATTTGGTTCTGATAATAGACTTAATAAATCCTCAGAGTTTATGTAATTTTTTAGCAGATGCTGCCATAGAATTTCATTATTTTCTAATTTATCATTGGATGTGAATTGTCTTAGATCATCAAAACTCTTAACTGACAATTTCCGTTCATCAATTAAATTAGCATGGCCTTCAAATAGCTTTGATAACTCCGAATTTTTATTACTAATCCATCTCATCTCCAGAACTTCTTTATCTTCTTCTCTGACACCTTGAGATTGAAGGATATTCTTGATTGTTTTATCGCATTTTTGAAATCCAGACTTCTCTTCTTCATTTAAAAAGTTTTTGTTGATAATTACTTCTGAGATTTCTTTCCATGTTAATCCAACAATATCCTTAGTGTTCTCAACAGTTGCAAGGACTAAGGTTGTCTTTCCATAAGGATCAAAATGTTTAATAAATTGTTGAATTTCACTGCAGTCTGTAGTATGTGTTGCTTCTTAAAGTCAAAGTTGCTTAATAGTTTCTTTATCTGATCACGAGATGCAACTTTATATAGCTCTTGAAACATAAATTCAAATATCTCACTTGTTGTGTAATATGCAGCAATTTGAAATATGTTGCAGCAATCTTCATCAATATCTGTGAGAATCTCTAAAAACTCAGCACTTCCACAAGAATTCTGAAAAGTTTTCCATAAAATTTGATGAATTTTGATGTCTTTAGATTTATTCGCAGCTATTTGAAGTAGATTTCTTTTGTATATTCCTTTGGTGCTTAAGATTTCTAGAAATTGATGATAATTTAAACTTTCTTTTGAATGTGAGAATATCCAGTCAATAACATTTGCTTCATTGTAGATTACAAGATTATGAACAAAGCTCTCATTTTGTTTGTCTTTTTTAACTGTCAATTCTTTTAATACCTCACTATTTTTAAAGGTTTGAAGCAAAAGCTTCCATAATGTTTGTTGAAATTCAATACTTTTGCAATACGCACTAATATGTAATATTGTGCTGTGATTATTTGATGATTTATGGATTGAAAGTTCTTTAAATTGTTGTGAAGCATTTTGGGATTCAAAAAGTGCTTCAACTTCTTTCCATAGGAATTCCAATTTAGATTTATCTTTTTCATCGACGTATGAATGAAAGATTTTCCATCCTTTGCTGTTTGTTTCTTGGAGTAGACTCATAACTTCATATTTCGTCATGCATTGATTAAGTATGTTAAAGAATATTTTAAACTTAGAGACATCGGTTTTGGCTGGTTTTGGTTGATTGAATTAAGCAAAACATTACATTATCTCCGAATTCATCTTGACTTTTTAAAGATTCAATAACAAAAATTGAATATGTTTTTTGTTTCACATTTTTAATAAAAATTTGAATTGTTTGTCGATCAAGTGCATATCCAGCAAGTTTGTGAAACATTCTTTGATCTGTTATGAATTTTTTAAAATCATTTGAGTTCAAGAAATTGAACATGAAGTCTTGCAGATTTTGAAACATTTTTAAACTTTTAAGTATTGAGGTTACAAGTCCTTTATTGTTATTTAACATCTTCTGAATATCCTCGAATTTCTAATTTTTAAGAAGGTTGATAATGAAGTAATCAAGATTCTCCAAACTCTCATCAAATATACTCGATAAATTGATTAGCTTCTCAATACTTTTACAAAATATCTTTGAAACTATATGCATTCTTTGGGTGACTCTTCAGCAATGGCTTCATTCAAGAACATTCTTACTACTCCATATTTGCGGACAGTCAAGAATATTATTAAATATTCACACATGTCTTTTTCATCATTCTTCCTTCCTTTCACTAAAATCCTTACAATAAAATCAGCAGCATAATATTCACTAGATGTTTCATGTGGGAAGTAGGAGATTTCTCCTTTTTTATTCATAATTCCACAAGCAATGATTTCTTCATCTGGCCAGTCACAATCCTCAACATTTAAATCACAAAATTGCTTAGTTTCAGGAAATAACCTTTGCATTGTAAACAGCTGATGAACCTCGCGATGTATCAAAGCTTTACTTACATTTTGACTAATGCTAGCATCTTTCCTTAATTCACCCTTTTCGGCTGACCATCTTTTAATCTGAAGCTTAATGAACTTCTTATAGACTTTTGGGACTCTGAATCTTTTTGCTATTGATTTGTTATTTGTAAAAATATCAGCAATCATTTTGAAGAAAAGTGAAAAGCCTATCGATTGAACATTAGCTCCTAAAATTTCCTTATATACTTCTTGCGCTTTAAATTGATATTGTTTGAATTCTACTGAGTCAAAGATATCGGATTTTGATGAGGTAATTTAATCCTTTTTTTGATCATTCAACACCCAATTTAATGCCAAAATTTTAATATTTTCATCTTGTCTTGTGTCAATTGCTCTAGCTTATATACAGCATCAATCTTCAATGTTGCTTGCAAATTTGTTTCAAAATAATCACGTGTAGCAATCCAAATCTGATTTCCATTATTAAATTTACAAGATTTGATTAGCTTAATAATTAACACCGCATAATCAGGAGCAATCTCATCAAATCCATCAAAGAGAATGTTCACATTGCCATTTTCATATAGATTAATAAATATCTTAGCTTCATAAACATTGTCAGGTTTTAGAATATTTTCAAATAAAAATTCTGAAAAATCATAAATTACTTCTGATGCCTTAAAAGCTTTGATGAATTGCTTTAAATCTACATATGATGTCCATTTCTTAGGATAAGTACGACGTAGGACATCAGCTATATTCTTCAGAGCCCAACTCTTACCAGTTCCACCAAATTCAGATATCAAAACATACTGCCTCCTTTTAACAGTTTCTATAAGTTCTTCAACTAATATTCTCGATGTCTCTGGTGTTTGTAGGTTATTTTTGGATGAAGCATTGAGTTCATTATTCTTTTGAGAAACGTGATTAATTTTTTTAAACATTCTTGCTTGGAAAAGGATTTGGAAGTGCTTATCAGACACATCTTTTAAAAATTTATTGTTCAAAGGGACTTCAGATGTATTCAGCAGGAGGTTGAGAAGTTGATCGTCAACTATATCTTGAATTGCTGTTACGTCTTCCTGCATGCTTATTATATCAGAAAGTGAATGTGACGAGCAGCTCTGAAAATTAACTTTTTTTTATAAGTAAAATTTCTTTTGATTTCAGTGTCAAATCATTCCAGGAATAGTCAGATGTAAGTTTAGCAGTAATTTCTTCTAGCTGTAGGATTTGATCTACAATCTGATACTTAACTTCGTTTGAGACTACAAAAATGTAGTTGAGCTTCTTAGTTGCAAACACATCCTTTAAATCATCTCCAAATTCATCTGTACAGTCGACGATTATATTATCAGGTTTACTTTTGAGCATCACATCTTTAAAGTTAATTGATTTCTTAAGAACTTCTGGAGATAAAAACAAGTTCTTTGCATTTGTTAAACTTCCATATTTTCCTAGAAGATTTTTAAATATATTAAAAAGGAGGAGCTTTAGTATGTTGGTGATAATTATGACAAATTCATCGATGATATTAAGACATCTTAAAGATAAGAATTCGACTTCCAACTTTTCAATTCCTGGCAAAATTTCACAGATTTTGTTTAAAGCTCTTAAGTCTTCGCGCTTCTTTAAATTAAACTGTTTTATGTCTGGTATGATAAAATTTTCAAAGTGTTGAAAAAGAAACTTGAAATTGTCTTGCAAGTGCTTGACTTTATCCTCCTCAATATCGAATTTCGCTTGAATTTGTGGTGCAATTACTATCAATTCTATGTGATCAAGATCAGTTTCGTATTTTTTGAATACAGTCTTCAAAATTCCTTCACAATCGTCGTCCAACATTTCCTTGTCATCTCCATACTTCTTATATTCAGCAACAACTTCTTCAAATTGTTTTTCCCTTTCTTGATCAACTTCGTAATAAGGCTTCTCATTATTTTCATAGACCAACCTTAAGACATAATGACAAAGCTCATGAGCAATGACTCCTTTAATTTTTTGGTCTCTGTCTTGAAGATTTGATGTTTTCGCACCAATAAAGATTCGCTTAAATGCTGAATATGTAACTCCTAAGGAATTTGGAGCATCTAAGTCGATACTGTCAGCCTAAGGAATTGATAAAGAAAATTAAATTGAGAAATATTCAAGAAACACCAACTTTGTTAAAATTCACTGCATAGCACACTGAGATTGAGTTAATAATTCAATTAAAATGGTTTCCTTAGATCAAAATTAACCTAAGCACATGAACATAAAATTTCTTACAGTTTCATTTTCGAAATCAAAGATGATCTTTAAATCAGGACATTGTACAGCAGCATCGAGTAGTTTACAACCAATTCTAGTCTTATAAATATCCTTGAACCACTTAGGGTTGCGAACCTGATGGTTGCGATTTCTTAATATGAAGTCACTAAAGCATAAAACATCATATTAGGTTACTTCCAGTAGTCGAGGACCAAAGGAACTGGTTAGTTCCGCAAAAAATTTTTAACTTTCAGAGGTGATTCCTTAATGAAAAAGGAACAAAAAAATTTTTTGTGGATGTAACGGAACCGGGTAGTTCCAGTGCCTATCCATTGCTCTAATTGAATATCCACATGATGGAACACTTTGTGAACAAAAATCATGCAGAAAATGGTTTTACAATAATGGAAGGAGTCAGTTCCTTATGTACAGCCACATCCAGTAATGCTCAATCATGTCCAGTTACGTGGGCTTCATATCCTGTAAGCATAAAGGCGCAGTCAACGAATTGATCGTTAAAAACATTTTCTCGCTCGAAAACTCTGAAAAGTATTGCTTATTGTAATCTTTATTTCAAAACTTTTGGAACCAAAAGATCCAGTTAAAACAGCAAATAATCCAGAATGAATTTTTATAAGGAACTTGTAGGCAAAAGTGACAATTATCATATATTGTTTGGAAATTTCATGAAAAATTTTTTTCACACAGTGAGTTTGGTTTGAGTTTAAAACTCCAACTCAAAACTCAACTCATTTCGAAATGAGTTTGAATTTTGTTCTAAAACTCAAAACTCAATTTTCAAAGAAAAAAACTCAAACTCAAAACTCAACTCATTTTTTAATAAGATTTTAAATCAAATTCACATTTTGATTTATGAATTGTGATTTAATTCACTAAATTCTCCCCACCCTGCTTATTACGTAACGCTTTTAGGGGGAGGGGGGGGGTCTAAGATTTTGTTACGGTTCAAACAAGGAAATTTTTTTTCATACAAATTTTGTTACGAGGGGGGGGGGGGGTCTAAGAAGTCATTTTTTCGCGTTACGTAATAAGTGAACAGCGCCTTATCAATCTTTTGTCTGCATTCCAATTCAGTTTCATCGCTGATCATTTGATTATGATTGAATGATTTTGTAATCATAATCATGGCTGTATTTTCTTCATTTTGAAGGGCATTAGTGACATTTTTCCTCTTTTGAATCACCAATGATTTCTTGACAGCTTCTAATTCTTCGTCATCACTTGCTATTTCTGTGTAGCTGCTAAGACTTACTCCTTGAAAATTGAGAGATTTAAGATAGTAAAATACTTTGAACTTCTTTGACATCATTGAATGATATAAAGCTGAATCATTGTGTGTATTGTAAATGATTTTTAAGCTTGGATTGCTTTCGATGAATATTTTGATACTTTTGAGGTTTTGTTCTTCAATCTATCGATAAAAACATTCTCTGTCATCAATCAACTTCCTTAGCTTTGGGTAATTTACAGCATTTGAGTTGAAATCATCGGGAAATGGAAAATCGCAGTCCAACAAATCACATAAAATATCAAGCTGATTAGAATTGAAAGCAATAGTAGAGATGTCAACTTAATGGTCATACGGAAGCTGTTTAATTAGATGTCTGCAGCTGTTTGTCATGAATTTTATGATTTCTATATTTGAGTTTTCAATGGCAATAATAAGAATGGATTGTTCAGATTTATTGATGTTGATTGTGTCCGTTAGATAGTTTTGTGCCTTTAAAGTCAGTGCGTCACTTCCGTTCTCAAATGGAATATCAAGTGCAGCTATAAGTTGATTTTTGGATCCATTTGCAGCACATTTGGATATGATTTTATAGATTGAATCTTCTGATAATTCCAAAGTTTGTAAAACTCTTAACTTAGACAACTTTTTGCAAAATAGCTAAACTAGTAAGGGGCCCAACAACTTTTTCGTACAGCAAAAACTGGTATTTTTTTGTTTATTTCAGGCCAATTACCATTTAACAAAAAAGATCATTTTGAGTTTGAATTTTTTTTTATTTTGCAAATTTTACCTTAGTTGAAAGATCAGACACTCCGAAAGAATTGTAAGGATAGTACAATTCTTCACAACCCATATGAAAGGATTGTAAGAATTTTACAATATTGCACAATCCTTAAAAATCTTTTGAAGTGTATGATCTTTGCCTTAGTCGTTATCAATTTTGTGCCAACTTTTTTTTAACCTCAATTTATAAGCATTATCTTTTTTTTGTGTCCCGACACATCTTGGTGGTAAGCCACGACTAAAACCACACACAACATCCACACTCATGTGCCGCGGCACACAGTTTAGACAACACTGTAACTATTCAGCACTACAAACAGATTTACATTGAGCAAAAATGCACCAATATTGCAAAATCATTCAAAATCAATTTTATTTTCTTAAATTAGTTTCTTAAAATTTTAATAAACTTAAAAAAAATTCAAACTTACTTTTGATGTACCCCTTATTTTAGTCTCATTTTTTTACAAACTTTTCACTTTCCAGCAGAGCTCCAAAACATGAAATGGTAAATTCTACGATAACATTTATAACAGTATTTATGTAAATGTTATAACAAGTATAACATGTCATGTTATAGCCAAACATATCATTTTATTCCATAACATAATAATAAGCAGCATTTAAATTCAATCTTCCCCATTAAATTACAAATATCATTCAATTAAATTCAAAACAACCTAATTAAATCTCAAATGCCTATTGAAGTGTGACGCAAGTGATAGTGAGTAAGTCATCAAACCCAAATGAGAGGATGCACAATGGGTGGTGAAGTTGAAGGCTTAGATATGCTTAAATCACTGAATTCTTCCACCATCCATTGTTATGAGCAAGAAAGAAAGTTGTCATCACAAAAAGTAGATCTTTATTTACCATTCAACCATGAAGTAAGTCCTCAAATTGTTGTTGTTACTGCCACTGTTCTGCATGTTCATACACACCCAACTTTTCATCTGTAATGAGTATTGTTTGGTAAAATCGAGGGGAAGACAACACAACGGGAAAAAAAATCATGATTTCCCACTGTGGTGGGAAAATTTCCCATCGTGACGGGAAATTTCCCATCTTAGTGGGAAATCGATGGGAAATTTCCCATCTTAGTGGGAAATCGATGGGAAATTTCCCATCGCAACGGGAAATCGGTGGGAAATTTCCCATCTTAGTGGGAAATTGATGGGAAATTTCTCAACGTGACGACAATTCGGGGCAAATTTAAAAAAAAATTGGAATATTTTTTGGAATGGTTTGAATTACACTCTCGGTGCATTTTATTTTTGAAGAGGACCAGAGTTGTCAGATAGGTACCTTTGAAAAGGTGCCTCAACGGAGCATGGTAGCTTTTGCCTTTATCTAGTCAACACCTAGGTATAGGCAAGCCTAGCTAAAGGCAAAAAAGTGTGTCTAGTCAAAGGTACTGCCTAGCCATAGGCACTACCTAGAAATAGGTGTACCTAGCCAAAAGTAAAAAAGTGTGCCTAGCCAAAGGCAATTTCTAGCCAAAGGCACTGCCTTTGTAAGATTAAATCTACTATAGAAATTGCCTTTTACCTTTAGTCTTACTCGTTGAGTTTTTGAACAATAATGTAAAATTTCTTTTGTTTGAACCATTGAAAAACTACAGACCCCCTCCAAATGACTGAAACACCGAATTTTGATTTATCCAAGGCGACAAAATTTTTGATAACGACAAATTAAATTTTTTAAATTTTCGACGTAGCAAATTATTGGTTTAAAAGAAGGTATGATTCACTATTATGCTCAAATAAATTCAAATTAAGAAAAAAAAGTGTTTAAAATTTAAAAAAAAAAACTCAACGAGTAAGACTAAAGGTAAAAGGCAATTTCTATAGTAGATTTAATCTTACAAAGGCAGTGCCTTTGGCTAGGTATTGCCTTTGGCTAGGTATTGCCTTTGACTAGGCACACTTTTTTGCCTTTGGCTAGGCACACCTATTTCTAGGTAATGCCTTTGGCTAGGTATTGCCTTTGACTAGGCATGTCTAGGCAAAGGCAAAAATTTCTGCCTATACAAAGGTAATGCCTGGGATAGATTTTTGCCTTTGATAGGAATTTGATAGGTGACGACTCTGGTTCTAATAATAATGTGAGAGGGTTCCAGCCTGGCGGTGTGTTACTACACGTTGCGATGAGCTGAAGGCACTGCGATCCTGATCGATGATAGAACTCTGGTTCTAACTGTCGTCTGTCTTTTAAAAAAAGTTCACGAAAAAAATTTGTTTACAAATTCACACCAAAAACATTTTTTTAAAATTTTTACCTTTTTTTTGAATTATGAACGTTCAGGGAGGGTTGAGTTGTAACATATTGTAACAAGGAGGGGGAGGGGGGGGGGGGAGTGTGAAAAAAGTCGTTTTTTTGCGTAACGTAATAAGTGAACGGCCCCAAGGGGTTGACACGATTTCATCTTGATGAAAAATTTCTTCATCCTATTGTTAAGATGAAATTTTTGTATGAAAAGATGAAAATGATGAAATTTTCGGGTGAGCTCGGTTTGTATGAAAAATACCTCGAAAAAGCAAATTTTTCTTATTTGAGGTGAAAAATCTTTCGGAAAAATAAATGTTTGCACTAATTTTTTTCATTTAAAGTGAAAAACCCCAAAAAAACACATTTTTCGTCTCGATTTCCTTAATTAGGATGAAAAACCCATCGAAAAAGCCATTTTCGCCTCGATTTTCTTAGTTGTGATGTGAAAAAGCGAATTTTCATAAATATTTTTGTAAAAAATGATGTTTTAAGGTAATTTGTATGAAATTATATACTTCACAAACCAAATAAAACGTG